GGTTGGGCGCCCAACTGTCTCTGTATGAGGCTGCGAATCACGCCCAGGGCCTGCATTCTTTGGAAAGGCCCGGTAGGCCGTGGAAATGTCTTCGGTACTCGACCTGTGTTTCTTTCAACCAACTGGCGCGTCGCAACTGCCTGGACCCCAAATATGAAATTGACAGTCGAGGGCCTCTTGCAAAAAGCCAGGCCCGCCTTCACTTAGGGCGGGTAAGGCTGCAGACAGGGCCCAGTAGGCCTACCGAGGACACTGATCCTCGCAGGTAGTGTTTTTAATTTTTTTTCTCAAATTCTAATAAGAATCTAAAGATCATGGTCAACCAAATGTTGCTTGTTTTGTGCTGTTGCATCACATATTGTGTTTTTTCAGATTTTTTTGATGACTTGTTTTGTTTTGTTTTTTTGTTTTTTTTTGCTTTTTCGTACGGGGGCGTACAAGATGTACAGGTTTTCGTACAGGTTCCCGTACAGATCCTGTACAGATATTACCTGTACGTTTCGTACGGAAATGTCCCATACGTGTACTCTATGCAACGTAGCCCTCTGGTGAGTCTTCTCTCCCCGTTCCTAACCCCCCCCCCCCCCCAACTTCCTCATATTTCTGGTTTCACCCAGCTGTCAGGGAAAGGTGTGACCAAACCAGCAAAAAAAGAAAAGAAAAGAGAGAAATCTATGAATTAAAAATCAGAATGAAGTATTGTCGTAGGTTGACCTCAAATGATTTTAGGTCAGTTGATGAAATTCGATAAATCTTCTAATCAGTTGAAACTAGACGGCTTTGGAATCGTCGTACTCTATCATTTATTTCTGGGTGGTTGTATGTATTTATTGGTCAAATAGTATAATTACAACATTTCACTTTTTAGGGTTTTCAGTGGCGATTTCCTAATACCTAGGTTACTTTTTTCCACGAATTGTTTTTTCAATTACTAAAGGATCACTCATCATGAGATTAGGGGCTAGGCAGGTGAGGGGGCAGGAATCTCTGTTATTCTACCAAGGTGCCATGAGGCACACACTTTTTCGACAATTGGGTTCCTCTCCCTATGCCTGTTCAGGCATAAGCCAAGTGGGAAGAGTGCAAAGGTTGCTTCCATTGCCTTTGGCTAGGGGAGTGGGCAAGGAAGTAACACACCCGTTATAATTAGGGAACGAATGGAGGATCACACCTCAATCATCAGAACGAAAAGGTGAAATAGCAGTCAGAGGCAAGGAAAAAGTGAACCCTCAACAGAACCAGAGAAAGGAAGCAAAGATTAGTAAAAAAACTTTGATCCTGGTAGTAGGACTCAATCAACAGACAGAGGAAAACCAGTTTCCCTCCGGGTCCGGTCGACCTGACGTCTCTAATTTTGAAACGAGAGACTATGGGGGAAGCGGTGAGGAGGTTCTGATAGAAGAAGAAAAAATGATAGGTCAAGCCAAGTCAAATCACAAATGCTCTCTCAGTCCTGAAGTGACCCTGTCATCACACACTACACAACAGTCCCAGAATTAGTCTACAACAGAACCCAAGACTGCACAGCCAACTTGGGTTGAAAGAGTGAGGAATACGTTGCAGAACAAAACTTTGAACATTATGCATCCATCAATTGGATATGTGACCTCACCAGCAGAAGAATTGAAGAATCCGTTGCGAAACTTATCCTCTGGACGAGCTTATTTTCTCACTATTTTTCTCCAACCTTCGGAACAGCAAGTAATAGACCAAGGAGGAAGGAAAACCTTAACGAAATTTTATCCTACTGACAAGTGGCTAATAGAGACGAAATTTACACGAAACATGCAAGTAATTGGGTTTTCTATGAGAACAGTGCGGACAGGTCAATGAACAATAAGATCGAGTGGTTGTGCAAAAGGTTGGAATTAATTACGGATAGGCCAGAGGTCGTCTCTCAGTTTGTTTTTATCCAACCAGTTTCGCCAACAGTTTTCACTGTCCTCTGTCTGTTTGAGCAAGACAAACACTAGATTGACAGTTGGAAGAAAATTTTATGGGATAGGTCAAATGTTAGAATCTATATATGGCTACCTAAAAAGATTGGACAAGAAGAAATGAGAGAACAACTAATGTGAGATTTCTATTGGGTAGAGTTGCGCCACATCCCGATAGGTGTTCAAGGAACATTTATCCATGATTTTGGACAGCAATTCAGACTTGTAGATTTCATTGACCCACTGTTGACACATGTGGCGAAGAGAGATGATTATCTGATGATCGCACTGGACTTGCCAAAAAAACAATTATTCTCCATAGACGATATTATTCCCTTCAAAATGGAAGGGGAAATTTCTCACATACAAATGACACACAAGTTTCAACCGTGGTGTTTCAAGTGCAGAGCATATGGTCATCTTAGCACGGAGTACGCCTATCCCCAACATTCACAACATGCAATTTCGCCTAACCAAAAACTCAGACGGGACCCACAGAGACCTCATAGATGAACCGACGACCCCAGGATACAAAGGATAGGTGTATAGTGATGACTGTAACCAAGCGAGTCAACCAATTGGTTGGTTTTGGGACAGCAGGGAAAATCCTCGTAAAAGCCCGAGTCCACCGGTTGATTTGTTAACTCCTCAACAACCCAAACATCCCAAACAATCGCAGCAACCGCAGCAGTTTGTTAAGACCAAGGCTCAGAGCGGGACTAGGCCTATAGGGTTAATAGGAATTGTAGGTAATACTGAAGATGGTGAAGTTGTTGTAATTGTTGGGATTACCGAGAACATTAAGAAGAAAGAAAGGCACAAAACAACAGGTAAAGGGTTGCAGAGTCGCTCACCTTATGAAGAAGAGACAAATTTGGAAAATGAGAATAATAGATCTATTGGTTCATTCCCATCTGCTTATATGCGAAATAATGGGCAACCAACAACTTCTGAATGGCGAATGGTCAGAACAAGTAGAAATGAGAAACAAATTTCACCACCACCTTCACAGACAAGAGAAACAAAACAAA